CATGAAAGTTAAGCTTAATTTTATAAAAATTGGAGAATTTGAGTACATCTTGTAGTAAGGTCCATTTGTTTCTCTTGTTGTGGCTTTCTCTATTGTTTGTAATTTGCTTCCCTGCAATTTCATCTTCTTCCCCTTCCAAGATTCAAATATATCAATACATAAGAACAACTACAAAGAAAAAAAATTAATTTCTTCAAAAATAAGAATAAATTAGGCAAATTCTTGAAGGAATTTTTGATTAGTGAACAATAGTTACAATTTAAAGGAGAAAAAATTTGAGAAAAATAATTATATACTTACATTTTGAGGAGGTTGTGGTACTTGCTTAAAATTAATACTTAAGCTAATATTATTATTCATCTGGCACCCTAAAATAATTTGGAATCTTTTATCATAACCTCATGGCTAAAGCAAGAAATAAGTCTGAAAAAGCATTCTTATCAGAAAATGAAAGGAAACTTCACATCTGGAGTAAAAGTTCAAAAACTTGGTTGATTACTTCATACATTTTAGTATTGTTACCTCAAGATGCTGTGTTGCTTCCGAAGTCAAACCTACTGTTGCTGCAGCCAGTCCTATCAACCCTCTCTACAATGCAAAATAGCATATACATAGAACAAAACCAAATTGAAATTCAGAATTTTCAACTAAAACGTTTATTGAATAAAACCTCATTTTCAATGTCAATTAAGTAAACCGAACTAAAATGAAAACTTACTTTGCGATGATTTGCCTCGGCCGAGTAGGTAAACTCGGTGGTCAACAAATTGATCACCGCAGTAATTTTATCATGATCTCGTGCCAGCGCTAATTGCTTCACTATCCCTTCCACCTGGAACCCACCAACCCAAAAAAACCGAATAATTACACAAAAATCAAAAAATTACTCCACACAAAACCATTAAAAAAAATTACAAACAAATACATATATGTATAATGAAGACCTCAAGAGCCGCATTTTTGCGCTTCTCATACATCTTATCGGAGAGGTATGGAGAACCACCGATGGAATCATAGACAACGCATCAGCCAAACCAACGGAGCAAACACACAGCCACAAGGAATTGATGATACACGTATCATCTAAAGATGACAATTCTGAAAACTAAGTTAAGATTGTATAATTGTATTCATACTTGGCTTGACTTTGTGATTACCGTTTTCATGTATCAGGCTATGAAGATCCGAGAAGAAATATTAAAGATGGAACCAATGAGAAAGGGTGAGATTGAAATTGTACATCACAAATTTTGAGAATAGGGGACAGACATTTTGCTGCCAAATTTCATATTTTCACTGATTTTGGGTGTTTGAAACAAATTCAGAAAAGATGAAAGGTGGCGGCGGTACTTACGATTGGGAAATCAAGAGGGGAACGACGAGTCATCTTCTCTTCATCAGGTGCCATACACAACCAATATAAATCAACTCAATTTTAAAAAAACGACAAACGACAAGTCTAATAGCAAAGCTTCTCAATAAACCTTAATCCAACTGAAAACTACAAATTAGAAATTTAGTCCCTGTATGTAATGTTGTACAAAACAACTTTTGAAATACATTATGAATGAGAATATGATTGATGAAATGTTGCATATTCAATTTAATATAAGTATATAC